CTATATTATATAATAATAGTTTTTTTATTATATTAAATATAATAATAAATATATATTATATTGTAATTATATATATTATATTGTACTATAATATAATATAGTCGTAATTTTTAACTATCCACAACAATTCAACTTTACAATTTACCAAATGCTATTACATTTATTTTAGAACCGACACAGCTACTATAATTATAGTTTACTAAACACTTAACTGCTTTTTGTAACAGTTACTTTTTATAACAGCTGTTTTTTCTTTCAGCACAGTTAAAAGTAATTTTTTTTAAAATTTACAGCAATACGAAATGAAGCTAGAATGGATCAAATTGTATTGTTTTCCATTAAAGGAAAAAAAAAAAAAAAAAAAAAAAAGATCAAGTGGTCTCTAAAGGACCTAGGAAAATAAATAGTTATGTTAACTAGAACCAATTAAATTTAGCAACCTGGACATTATTTGGTCTTTGGGGAGCCACCAACCTTAGTTAATGAACTCTTTGAAACATGGAGGAGTTTGTAAGTTGTATCTAACTTGGAATTTCTTTTTAATGTTAATCTTCGTTTCATTAATTGAAGTTTTGACATGTCATGTGCAATTATATGTTTAGGCTACCATCACTAGGTTAACCGGTTACGGTTTTTTTTTTTCCCCCTATTCTCAATCTCATTATACATTCAAATTTTGTTGTCCTATAATTCACCTTGAGGTGCCTAGCTACTTAGTTAATAGATTGTACAATATTATATTTTTAGTGACGGAACATAACCCGTTCTTTGAATAGAACTTGATTGACTCTTTTTGTTCCATTGTGTTACGAAACTGTCTTTTTATTTAAGTAAATGATGTATTTAACCTTTAGATCTGGTTTATTTAAAATGGTCAATAGTTACTTGTACAAGTCATGGGATTATCCCATATTTTTAGGTTTATATTAACCTTTGTTAGTGGGTAATTGATTGGATATTTTCAAATAAGGTTGTAATCTCTCCATTTAAGTCATTTAATGAAATCTAAAAGGAGAGTCCATTGGACGGTTTAGTTTCCCTCGAATGAATCTATCAATATAGATAAAAACTCTCTCAAATTAGTCTATATTTATCATTTATTTTTATTAATTACAGGATCATATGGCTAGAAATTAAATTATCTCAATAGATCAAAACACCTAATCTAACCACAAATCAATCTTAATGGAGTTTTGTGTGTTGTAAATAATGGTTCTAGGATTACTTCCACCACTCGACAGCGGAAACTAATCGTCCACAGTCGCTGGAAGACGTCAATACCCGACTGAAATCAATGGAGAACCTACAGACACGAAGAAGAAGGGCAAGAGGCTTTGAGCTCCTCTCTATCTCTGCCTCTCTCCAAAATCGTTAGGCACCCATCAAAAATTGCCCACAAAACCACCCACCAAAACTAAAGGGTGTGCTGCCTATATAAAACTAAGAGGACGTTTGGTTGGAGGATTCAAACCATGTGATTCAAACTATTTTTGATTTACATGAATTTTTTATGAGAGAAAATACTGTAGCGAACCATGAATCATAATTCGAATCAGGAAACGAATCCCTCTACTAAACATCCTCTAAATGGACCTAAGAGATTTAACCAACACTTAGAGAGGATTTATCTCAATAAGCTGACTAAATATTATGAGATAGAAGGTGTTTATACCTAAAGTTAGTTAATAAACCGAGTGTTCATCGCATTATGAACTAATATTTGACATATATGCATTTATTAATTCACATTAACACAGTTGTTATTACATGCTTTAATAATAAATTAAAATGAATTATTATAATTATAAAAGTCCATATAAAAATATTTCAACACATATCACATTGGGTGAGCCCATAAATTCTATTGCAAGTAAAGAAATACTGCAAAATAATATATTTATATGTGTGTGTTATCTAATTTTTTTTCCCCGCTGTGTGTGTGTGACACAGATTGTTCACGTTATGTTCAGAACGACAATCAAAAACACTGATGGGCGATTTTTAACTTCCCTTGTCTTTTCAACTGTATTACATCCCATTTTATATACATTTTTGTGTCCTTCAAATGCGATGAATCGCTAGGGAATATGTTTTGGTGTAAGTCGTAAGATGATAGCAGTAGCGGATACGTCATCGTGAGGTAAAGTTCTATTTTCTGCCATTGGTGAGCTTAAATTCCAATATTCCCATTATTTTAATTGAGTTGTGACCTTTTTTTTTTTCTTCTAATGATTGAGTTGTCTTCCAATCTTCATCCAGGACGATATTGAATAATATACATATCAGAGCTAATGCTTTATTTAACACTAAAAAAAACGAAAGTGGCATATATTTTATTTCAAATTCAAATATGCTAATTATGTCTATGTCAAAAATAACGTTTTTGATATGCTATTTATTTTGTGTTTTAATGCATAATAATTATTGTAGTGTCAATTACAAATGCACGATATCGCTAATAAATAATAAAGAGTGAATTTAAAAGTATCGTTCCTACGATGATAATATATTCATTAAGTACTAAAATTGGATAATTTTAAGTTTATTTGAGTAATTGAAAAAGATGAATTTTGATTAATTTTACAAAATTAAAATTTAAAACAACAAAATTTAAAAATAATAAAGTAAAATGAAAATTATTTTCTAAAATGACAAGACAAGGATAAAACAATGATTATGAAAATGATGAAAATCATGATTTCATCAATATTAATCTAATTTAATTTATTTAAACATTACTGTGATTTTGAGATCATATTATATTGATGGTCGAATCCTCTTATGTTTTACGTACTCTTTTCCAAGTTATACATAAAATATACATTTTCATAAAAACTCACTATATCTCTATGTGAATTAAATTACAAAAATGTTCATTAAGATTAAATGATTCAAAAATGACCACATAAAAACATATAGATATATCTCTATACTATCTTAAAATTTACAGTATTTATTTTAGAGTTATGTCTCAAAAATCTCATCTATGTTTCATTTTGATCATCAGTTCATTCAAAAAGTTGATCAAAAATTTTGAAAGCTTTATGTCCAGAAATAAATACTTCAACACATGTAAGACAATCACAATAACGTTTACACAAATTAAATCCTCATAATATGATTACGTCATTATCCTAGCAAAAATTAAATTTAAAACATAATTATAATTAAACTAACACAGTACAAAAAAATTTAAATAACATTTTCATAACAATAATAATAAAAGAATAATTTTAGTACAAACACTAGTAGCGGATACAGTTTCTGATCTGCTTCGGATATC